AAAAAAAAAAAATGGATCGACACCACAGAAGAAAAACCAAAATATACAAAAACGCCCAGTGCCGCCAACGGGCAAAAAAAAAAAGAGAACAGTTGAAAAGAAGAAAAAAAAAAAAAACCTCGAACCCCGCGCGCCCTGGACACAACGCCGGCTTCCCCCCTTGAAACGACCGCCAACGCCGTCACCGCGCGGGCCGCCCCGAAACCGAATCGCAAAGAGAAAGTCCGAACGTCGCGCCGCCGCGCCCGGCGAAGGACACGGGGAGGAACGGACATCGCCCCGGCTGGCCATCCCCCGGCGTCGGTTTCCCGACCCCGTGTCCCAACACCCCCCTTTTTTTTTTCTTTTTTTCTTTTTGAATCGGTGGGCGTTCTTCCTTCAAATGGGCCGTGGTTCTGGGGCTTGGGCGGGCGCGTCGGCGTTGCGGATGCTCCGGTGGGTGGTGTGTGAGTTTTTTTTTTTTTTTTTCTTTGGGTGAAGACAAAAGGTAAATTGTGGTTATCCTATTCTCTGTGTTTTTGTTTTCTTTTTTTTCCTAAGCATTTGCCTCATTGTATGTTTTTTTTTCCCCCATTTCTCTCTATTAACATTCATACTTCTTTGTTTTTTTTTTTTTTCTGTGTTTCCTTGGAGGACTTTATACTGGTTCACTCTTTTTTATCGTAAGAAAGAAAAAGGTAACATAATGCTTCGACGGTCAAATATTGCTGAAAAAAGAATTTGGTTAACTAGATTTGTGGCAAATGTAGGTACAGGATCACCTATTTCTTTCTCCGGTACTGGTGCTCAAAAAGAAGGAAAAATGAATCCACAGGAGAAGGACTATAGTGGACCTATTCCAGGTGCAACAGGAAAGGATAATCGTCCTGGTATTTATGCGGAGAAGAAAGAGCCCACCTATTTTGAAAAACGTTACCCCAGAGGGGATGCAAATCTCCCTAGTAAGCGCATTATTGAACCAAATGAACCTAAGGATCGTTCTGATAATCTTAAGGCTCCTGAGTATGATACATCCCTTGGTAAATTTGAACAAGCACCATACTTTACAGGAGGTCCTGCTGCTATGCGATACCAAAATTATGTTCGAGAACCAGCAAATAAAGAAGCTGTTGATTATCGTGATGTAATACCTCTTCCACCCTTTGAAGGTCATCATCCTGATTTTTCTTATGCTTCTGTAACTGGTAAAAGAGAGGGGAATATAACATTATTGGCCAATACTGTGGTGAATTGGGAACTAAAGGCAGCTATGATGTCTCTTTATCGCTCTTGTCTTAAAGGACTTCCAATGGTGAAGCATTATTATTGGCTTCTTACACCATTACCAGATATGAAAGGAAAAATACGTGAACGTTTTCTTCAAAATCAGCATACTAAGGATCCTGACGCAATAAGACATCTACTTCATAATGGTTGGATGGAATATCAAGAAGTAATTTTATTTAGAAGAAGTCGTGCATCTGTAGCAAAGTTTTTTGAATGGGAAAGTCAAGATGAACTAGTACGTGGTTATACAAGAGAAGAAGGTAAAATGCAAGAAGAAAGGGCTTTTTGGAATGGAGAGGAACAAAGACGTGAAGGTCCATATGATGGACACTGGTCGTGGTTAGGAAAGGAATCTGAAAAGGAATTTAAGTTAATGGCTGGTAGGATTCCTGTATCATGGACTACCTCGAAAGGTTATTTTGAAAAGTTCGAAGCAGATGGTACCAATTACTGGGAAAAAAATCTAGATTATGAGGGTTGGTATATAAAAAATGTTGATCCTGATCGTCAAAACGCTAGAAGAGAAATGCAAGGATGGATTGAAAGTGGTTACAATCAACCTAAACACTACGCAAGTAAAAATAGACGTGGGTATCGTAGACTTGTTAAAGATATTGAAACTATGATGGAAACTTCTATGGAAGATCTTTATACAAAAAATAGGGAGCAATTATTTCAATATCTTATTCGAGAAACTCATCCTGAGTCAAATCGAATTAATGCTGAACGTACTTTGGCTAGACAAGATGATGATTTTTACTCTACTAAATTTGATGAATATGAGAAGTATTTAAAGCAAACTATGCGTGAGATGCCTAACCCACGTTTATGGAAAACTGATGCTTTTTACTTTCGACTACGGTATTTGATTTCACCTCTTGAATATAATTGGGCAAAAGTTCCAATTGGTGCAACCCAGGAGAAGCTTTATAATGAATGGATTTCTGATAATGCAAATTATGCTATCATAAACAGTTTAACGTTTGAGACAATAAAAAAAGACAAGAAGCGAAATCCAATGGCTAATACATGGGCTAATTTTTATGAGGTATTTGATCCTGATGTACCTGAAACACGCAGACTTCCATGGTATCATCCTGATTTTAATTACGATCGTCGACATAAATGGGATGAAAGGTGTATGAGAATGAAACGATGGGTTCAAGGAGGTACTATTGATGGTAAATTACCTTTTTTTGATAGTATTATTTCAGAATGGGAACAATATGTTAACCGCCCAGAAAGGTTTCGTGCATCAGACAGTGCAGAGCGTCGCTATGCTGCTCCAAGGATGGTTCAACTTTATCGTTCTCTTAACCGCCTTATGGATGTAGCTTTAGCGAACCAATTGAGGAGAACACTGGAGAAGGTTGTTGGAAAGACCACGAAAGAGTTGTCTGAACTACCTTCTCATGAGACTGAGAAATTGTTGGAGAAATTGGATCTTAGGAATTTTAAGTTCAATGTTCCAGTAATTATTTACCCTGATGGGGCTGTTCAAGAGAAATTAGGACTTGATGGAAATGTTCTTGTGTCACAAGTTTGAAAGTTTAGTAGCGGGTTTTCTGGGGAATTAGTTAAGGGATGGGGGCTGGAATGAGGGGTGAGAGAGAGAGAGAGAGAGAGAGAGGTTAATAGGAGGAAATTGTAAACTCGGGATAGGTATCTATAGAGAGAGACTTTTTCTGACATTATTTTTTTTTTTATGTTTTGTAGTGTGCTTCAAGTTGCTAGAATGATCGGGATTGTGTTCTTTAATATATGTATGTCTTCAGTAGTGAGTATGGGGACGATGTCTTTTTTTTTTTTTTTTTCTTCCACTCAACTTTGTTTAGGAGAGATGTATACTGATATTTCATACTATTTTTCCCTTTTTGCTTGTTTCCCCTTCATTTCATACATTTCTTTCTTTTTTTTTTTACTGTTTAATTTTCTTTATCGGCTTCTTTTTTTTTTTTTTCTTGAATAAGCAAAGGAAGTCACCACGAGATAAATACAATGCCTAAGGTTAGGACTGGACCATCAAAGCGCATGACCTCGCGTCAGCGTCATAAGATTGAACGAAAAAAGAGGGAACATAAACGTGACTTGCGCAAGGCTGCGAAGGCTTTAAAGAAATCTGGACTTGGACCAAAGAGATCTAAGAAAAGTCGTGAAATGGCCAAATTAGCCTTGAGAGTCTCTAATGCACATCCTGATAAAGAGGCCATTCTTAAAAGTGTGCTTCAAGCACGAGAGAATGCCCGTGTTGAAAAAGCAAATCGACTTAAAAAGAAATCTGAGGATGATAATAACCTTGAATCAGTTTCTGAGGAAGTTTCTTGTATTCCTCCATCACAGGTAGGAAAGAAAGCTCTAACGTATATTCCTGTACGTGAATCTAATAATTTTACTTATCAATTCAACAAGGTTCTTTCTGAAATGGTTTTTCCTCCTTCAGGATCATTAATGGAACTTCCCTCAGCTGCTTTTGTGGTAACTCTTGATGCTCGATGTGCAGTTCAATGCATACCATGGGGTCTTCTTGATGCTATTATAAACGAAAGTAATCTTTACGGTAAAAATGGTGGAAAACGAAAGGTTCTTATACTATTCGCTATAACCAAAGTTGACCTTGTATCATCTCCAGCCATAGTTTCTCAGATCTCTCTTGTAGCACATGCATTGTCTGAAAGGTATGGAACATCTGCTAATGGAAAAGTTTTATTGGAGCCTAGTGAGAATGTATGTATTGCATTTTGCCCATTTTCTAATCAGTTTGAGAAAACTACAAGACATTTTATCCGTATTATGAGGCAGTTTTTGAACAGTGATAACTGTGCACAGTCTAACAAGCATTGTAATGTTGAAGGAAAACTCTCTTCGTTTGTTATTGGACTTCCTAATACAGGTCGTAGAACGTTATGTCGTGCTATTTTACAATACGGAGGTGACTCTTGTGTTAGTATTGTTCCTGTTTCTTCAGCCCAGATACAAGTGATGTCAAAAGAAGATAATAATGAAGAAGAGATTAACTTGAAATTGGCTTTTCCTAATGCTAAAGAAATTACACTACTTCAGTTTCCAGAGGATGCTCATTTGATGCGCGACATTTCTTCACCAATAGGTGGTGATGTTGTTTTTAAGTCTTTTTCTTTTGTTGAACGAATAACAGATCCTGAGTTAATTGGTTGTATGTTATTCGCTGGTGCGATTGATAAGGTCGCACTTGCACAGGGATTTTGTCAATCTGCAGAAGGTTTTAATGAATCTCTCGATGAAGAAAAAACTCTTAAGGCAGGAGAACGTTTCCTCCGTGGACTTGGACATACTGTGAGAAGAGAAAAGGGGTTTTATGTTTCTCCTTTATTTGTATCAAATGCAGGAACCATGGGAAAAGTTTGCAGCAGTTCTTTAACAGCTTCAGTTAACTTTACTTCTCGTCAACAGAGCACGCAAACAACCCTTCTTGACGCCTCGTTTAGTAATGCCACTCCAAATAAACTTGTCCGGATTTCGTCCGTTGTGGCTTCATCTCGTGGAAAGAAGAAGAGTAACTTAAATGTGAAACGTATTGACTCGCATAATGCCTTTAAACTTGGTGCACGTACATTTGTTCGTGAATTTTGTCAAGGAAAAAATATCCCATGGGCGGTAATGCGACCTCCTATGAAGAAATGCTTGACAAAGGCTGAGGTTGAGCAAGCTTCAACACTTTTTGACCTTTCACTCTGTTGTGGGAAAAGGCTTGGAACTCTTGAAACGAAAAAGAGTTCTGACGAACACCTCGCTGCATTATTGGAACATTTGGCTTCTTTACTGAAACAATATTTAATATTCATGCCGAATAATGTGGTGGAGTTTGATCCCGACTGTATTGTTGCGCCAATTCATAACTTGGATGTCTCTGAGATAAATGGTAAGGGTGATAAAAAGAAGATGAATGAGGAGGAAGAAGGGGAAGGGGAAGGGGAAGAAGAGGAGGAAGAAGAAGAAGAAGAAGAAGAAGAAGAGGAGGAAGAAGAAGAAGAAGAAGAAGAAGAAGAGGAGGGAGAAGAAGAAGAAGAGGAAGAGGAAGAAGAGTCTGATTAAGTGGTCAGAGTACGTAAAGAAAATTTAACATGTTGTTAAGTCGAATAATAGAATTTTTAATCTAAAATGGAAAAAAAAAAACTTTACCCCCTCCAAAAAAAAAAAAAAAAAGGGTTCGTTTGTGATTATTTATATCCCTTTTTCGTCCTTGTTGTTTTTCTCTCTTAGAGATGAATATTTCTTGCTACCAAGTTAATAATTTTCATTTTTTTTTTTTTTTTTGTTCTTTTTTTTTTCTATGGGGTGCATGGGGTTGCAGTGTTTCCTGGTTGAGGTTGGATACCAGAAGGATAATGGGTGCCATGTTTCCTTCGGAGGACAAGTATGGTCCACGGTTGAGCATGTCCTTATGTCACTATTCCTCAGAAGATCTAGACCACCCTGCAAGCGCTTTGCGCTATCATACGCGAAGCACTCTTGGATGGCAGTCAAAAAAAGAGTGTCCCTATCCTCAAGAGTTAGGTTTTTCTTTCGAAGGTGAAGTGGAGTTGCGTTTTATTCGAATACTAGTACACGAATGCAAAATTCCTTCACGTATTGAAGTATTCGTTTCAGGGGCTACAGAAGAAGAAATAGAATCTGGTAAAGTCAGGTCATATGAATCAAGTACATTTCATCGCTTGGGATATGTTCAACTTTCTACAAATGAGGAAAACAAATATGCAGCTCGTGAGCTGAAGACCATTAATGTTAGTCGAAGGTGTGTTTATGTTAAACTCCTTATATCAAGGCCTCATCGGTGTGACTACAACGTTTTTCATCAAGTGGGTATTATAGCGATGACAAGTCATGGTGTACTTTTGCGTACACTTCAGAATAGGTTAACAAAAGAAATTTGTCTTGTGGGTGAGGTAGTAGAGGTACCATTGGATGAAATGTCTCCGCCATCCCTGGATGATTTAGAATATAAAAATCTAGAAGAAAATGGTCGTGAAATTGATGTTCCGACCTCTCGTCGTATTACAGAAGTTATGCTTATGAAAGATCGGGCAGTAGCTGTAGAAGATTATGATCTTGCAGCTTCTTTGAAGACGTTTTTGGTTTTCCTTGAGGAATCTGGTAAGAAACTTTATCAATTAGAAAAACAAAAATCTGATGCCGTAAAAAAGGAAGATTATGCTTTAGCCAAACAGATAAAGCGTGAGATAGATGGTTTGCGGGAGAAGGCTTATAGAATTCCTGAAACTTTATTAAAACAAAATGAAAAGATTGCTCCTTTAAATAGTAGTAATCAATACCCCTCCTTGCAAGAAGAAGAGTTAACTCAAGAGCAGCCGAATCATATTGAGAAACCAATCAAGTCTCAGGCCTCTCCAATAATAACTGATGCCAGTTCACCAAAATTTTTTGATGAAACCCCAGTTTGTGGTAATGGGAAATACAACTTTGACTCCTCAGAAATAGTAACACGTATAGAAGAAAATGATGTTAAAGGTAATAATGGTGGTGTCAATATTCCTCTGGAACTTATGGAGGGAAAACCAGAATGGGAAAAAACGATCAATTCTACTATATTGCGACTTTCTGGTGAACAACAACCTGCATCACCTTTGAAAGGTGAGGTGCTTACCGAAGCTAGAAGTTCTGAAAAAGTTTTTGGAACGTACTGTTCTGCATGTTTGTTTGGAAAAAAAGGACAACTTCGTGAAGTTGCTATTAGAGCTATTGTATCTCCTGAAGGGTTTGCCGCCCTTTCTTCGCACTCTCCTATTGTGGTTGAAACTCTTTTATTGTATATGGCACTCCCATCTCGTGGTATTGCTGATTCGGTTGCACAAGTTGTATTGTCCTCTTGTGAAGCTCTTTTAGCTATTTTAACAGGTAAGTTAAAGGATGCTCCACTAGCATCTTCCCTAATACCACAATTGAGTTCTCTTCTTCCTGAATTGGTGAATCGTTCAGGTGACAACAACAACCGTGTTCGTGATACAGCTGAATCTGTTATTATGGGAATTTCTGAAATTGCCCTTGAGGCTGTTATTTCAGCCCTTCTAGTGGACCCTGACAAGGTGAAAAAACGACCAGTTTCGTACAAAATTCATCTTGCACGTCTCAACATACTTAGTTCCCTTATAGATCGTTATTATGTTAATGGTAGTGAATCTATCTCTAATCGTGTAGATGACATTCTCTCAAAAGTAGTTTTGAATTCTTTACAGCATTCTAATGGTGAGGTGCGGGAGGCTGCAAATCATCTATTTGCCAAAATTCTTATTTTAGAGCCAAAACGTGCGGCAACGTATTTAGAAGGGTTAAAATCTTCTCAAGTGAGTGCTATAAAAGAGCATGTAATCTCTTTAAAGGCAACTAATCCCACAAGAAAATATTCTACCGGAACGGAGTCTAGAGTTACTACCTCTTCTGAAATTGCCCCAGATACAAGCGAAAATAATTCCACTAGAGATTTACCTAATCATATTTCTGAGAAAGAAGGTAACCATCATACGATGAAAAGATGTCAATTCTGTGGTGAATGTGATGAAACTTTTACAGAGGCTGGACTAGATATTCATTATATTCGTGCATGTCCAATGCTTTGTCCATGTCCATTGTGTGATCAGGTGACAGAAATTGCCACTCTGCAGCCACATCTTACTTCTGAATGTGAAAACCGACACTTAGTACGTGAATGTCCCAGGTGTAAAGAAGCAGTACGGGTAGAAGACTTTAAGAAACACCTTGATGCAATGTCCTGTATTAAGGCCGTACCAACTCATAGTGTATGTCCTTTATGTCATGCACGATTTCAGACTGGATCTGCTGGTTGGTTGGCACATTTAGCATCTCCGCCAGGGTGCCCAAACAATCCGAGAAAGTATGATGGTACTGGTCCCATAGCGGAGTAGAATCTAAAAAAAAAAATGTTTCTGAGTAAGTGGGTGATTGTGAGAAGAATATATATATGAGAGAGAGAGAAAAAAAAAAAGAGAAAGGGAGAAACCTTAAAGATAATATTGATTATACCAACCTTGGTGAAGAAGAACATGTGATAAAAATAAACAATGAAAAAAAAAAAAAAAAAAAACTATACCGACTTTCCTCCCTTTCTCTTCTTAAGGTGCACTAGAAGGATAAAGAGAAAATGTTCTATGTGTCTTTTTTTGTATTTTGAGTTATGATATTT